ATTGTGCTGCTCCCTAATGTTATTTTATTAAGATGCGATTTGTCATCATATTGCTGAAAACAAGATAAAATGCAGGCTAATTAAATTCCTTATTTAACTTGACGAGCATCTGCTTTCTGTAGTCACGTTTTTTAAGCAGAACCTTTATAGCTGTTTCTTGGGATCTGAGATGAAATGGGGAAATACTCCACCCCTAAACAGACATGTGTGTTCCTATTGCTCATGACTCTTGCTATGTATAATAACAGATGTATAGCACCACCCAGGCACAGACTCCCGCTGTGCCTCGCGAGCACGTTGTCCTGACACTTCAAGTGCACTCTCTGTTGTGGAATAATTGCTATCCCAAGGAGCCCAGTGGAAGACACTGAGACAAGCTGGTAGCAAAATACTGCAGCTGATAGCAAGTATCTTCTAGATCTGGCTGCAAAAATATACAAAATTTAACAAACAAAACACATTGTGACCCCTCCCTCTGTAGCAGGTGAGACCCCCAACATAAAAGAAAACCATCTCTATTGGGGGAGGAGGCTTAATAAGATGCTTAAGCATACACTTAAAGTTAAGCGTGTGCTGCTTGCTAAGGCCAGATTCTGGCCCCCTTTCCATACACTTCACTCATGGAGGTTTCTTAGACGAGAGCAACCTTCCTGCATTATTGGGTGAGTGAAGACTGAGGCACAGGAGAGCTCTGTGCTGAGTCCACATTCCTTATTAAAGCAGTAGTATTCTGCTGGTTCTGTCTACATCACAGCAGATGAGGGCACACAGTTACATCAGAATCCACCCTAGGATCAGGGATTTTTAGGAGTGTCTCTGGCTTGCTGGGGCTGTCTTTTGGAAAAGCCCTTGGCATCAGCCCTTACATCTCACAGAAGCCCAGAGCTGCTCTGCCAACTCCTCTTGGTCTGCAGCATGCTTTGAGGTCCTCCAAAGAGAGACACTACTGCTGTGCAAGAGCAAAGGACCATTAATATTACACTGGTGGATAATTATTTAGCATCAGTGACCTCTGATGCTCCTGCTTTAAGGATTTATCTGTATCTCTGGGTCTCTTGCGCACCAGGAAGAGAAAGGGCCAGAGAACCATGGGTAGTTTTAACCAACAGAAGCTCAAAAGTTGGCTTCACATCAGTACTAAAGCTATAGGATTAACTGTTTATTCTGAGCTTGAAAACTAGGCCAGTAATTTAGGCTCCAGAATAGAACTGGGAGGGCAACTTTTGTTTCTTTAGCCTGGTTTCCTAAGGAAATAAAGCTTATGCAATTAAGTTATCTGTGTGTACATGTGGGCCTCCCCTTTTAACTTTGCCTCCTTCAGCCAGTTCAACCATGTTTCACCAAGATAATGTTTTGTTCTGCATTTGGGGAAACAAACAGTTGTGTAGACCAGAGGGATGTATGATGGCCTGAACTCAAATATATTATAAGACATCGGGGGGTCCAAATTGCTAGTGCCTCCCAGAACTAGATCACACCTCACTTTGTGTTAAATGCTGGCAACACAGAGGCTTTGGAAACCCTGTTTGCATCTTAATGTAGGATATTTTTTTTCTCTTTTAAATCTTTATTCCAGGTGCCAAAGAACTGTCCCACACACCTGAGTTCTATCATATAAAAAAACAAGAGTCAGCTCAGCCTTGCAGCAACCATGTGAGTGTGGTGGAGGCCTGGCAGTGAGGCAGAGGCCATGTGCTGTGCAGACCATTGCTCTGGACTGGAGCTGTGGAGAGGAATCCAGCCAAGAAGGACAGACGGCAGAGAAGAGCCCCTGCAATCTGTTGGAGGGGCTGCACAATAAACAAGAGCAGGAAGGCTTCAACATGCTAGGGGAGAGCAAGCTGTGTAGATAAAGGCGGCTGCTTCAGAAGAGTGGATGGT